CACCCATTCACCCATTTGAGAAATTGGCATTTTAAGCAAAACTCTGGGCTTTTTTATACTGAAGGTCCGAGGATTTTAATTTGAAAACATTGTCCTACAGGAAAGAATTCTGACAATAGAGGCGGTCGAGGTGTGCCTGTGTGTGAAGGGGTTTGCTTTTTTTTTTTTTTTTAACATCAAAAGGGCATTCCTGATCACCTTAAAGTCACTTCTTCCCAAACTGTTCTGTAGTAATTGATTTATTGCCAGTTGTGCCTGGTCGCCTAGCCCAGGCTCTTAGATGAGGCGAAATAGCTGGTGTTAGGAGTGTCTTTGACCAAGCAAAGAGTACGGACGCAGTATCTGATAAACAACAGAAAGCCATGTGTTAATACATGAGTAAGAGCAACTCTGGCACTAATCACAAAATGGTGACGGAAAGCCCTCAGGACTTGATTCAAACAATTACCAACAATTTGCATATCATGGATTGTTAGAATCAGTGGGCTAAGGCAGGGTTTTTTTCCAACTCAGCAGTATTGACATCCTGGGCTGGATAATTCTTTGCTTGGGGGTGGGGATGGGGCTGGAGGATGTTTAATGGAATCCTTGGCCCTGCCCACCACATGCCCTCAGTCCCCCATGCCCTAGCTGAGACAATCAACACATTCTCCACTGTCAAATGTTTTCTGAGGAGCCAAATGTCCCTGGGGTTTGGGGTTGAGAAACTGGAATAAGACAGGGAGGGGACAGAGAAAGAGCCCCATCTCTACTCCCCTTGTCAGTTTCACTTTGTCTAAAATTGTCCTTCAGGGTAAGAGCAAAACTGTATATAAGCAAGATGTGGTAGCAATAATGCTTCCCACTTAAAAATACAAGGTTTTACTAGTAGTGAACTTCTGGGGAAACTTCTGTTCTCAGAACTTGGCTTTGGTATTTTAAAAGTTTTAAAAATCTGGTTACTGTCAGACAGGCTCCTGTAGAGCTGGATAAACCAACTAAAGCAGCGGTTCTTAACCTGTGGGTCGTGACCCCTTTGGTGGTCGAAGGACCCTTTCATAGGGGTCGCCTAAGACCATCCTGCATCTCAGATATTTACATTATGATTCATAACAGTAGCAACATTACAGTTATGAAGTAGCAACGAAAATAATTTTATGGTTGGGTCACAACATGAGGAACTGTATTTAAAGGGCCAGAAGGTTGAGAACCACTGCACTAAAGGAAGACTCCCAGCCACATCTTCATTGGCAGCTCTGCCGGCAAAATCCCTGTCACTTTGAGATGTTGTGCATTCAAAGCAATTGCAGAAAGAGTATTTCCACATTCTACTGCCCGCTTTAAATCTGTGGTTTTTGTCTTTCTTATCGGTGTGGCCTGTGACTGCTGGTCAATTGTGCAAAAAAAAATTTGCAGCTTAAGTTTGGTGTCTGTTTCTGTACCATCACAGCTGCTCTCTCCCCAAATGCTGGGGCAAACACTGGTTCTAGCAGAGCTCGTGGATCACTCTAATACACATCTCACCTTGTAACTGGTTCAGGAAATCTGCATCTGAGCTCTCAGCCAAAACCATACGAAGGAAGGGCCGGGGTGAAGGGAGGAATAATGAAATCACCCACGTTCTCTGTAAGCCCATGGGCTAGAGATCTGCACGTGCTCAGTTGCTGAATGAACCAGTTAGTTCTTGGACATCTTTGCCCCAATTATTAAGAGATAATCAATACAACAGATCATCGGCAAAAGATTTCAGTCAAGGGACGTCATGTAGTATCTTGGTTTGTTTTAATTGCTTGCACTTTATCCCTCTATAAGACAATGGAGTATATACCTTAGGCTCTGAGGCTCAGAACTTGAAGTTACCGATCTGAAGACATACAATTCTTGCAGAGATTCTCCTTATCATGTTGGCTGACTTTCTAGTCTTAGGTGGCACTTGAAGTCACCCCAAGACACAGCTCCAATCACTGATCCTACAGTAACAAGTTTCTGAGCACGGCTGGGAGAGAATGAGCTCCTGATTCTGCTCTTCAGAGGTTTATGACTTTGTTCCTCTTCTGCCATAAAATAAGGGTGATACTCCATGTTCAATATTCAACATGCACTCAACACAAAGTGCAAGGCTCTGGTCTAGCTGTTCAAGAATGAAAAAAAGAAGGAGGGGGAAGAAGAACGGGAGGGAGGGAGGGAGGGAGGGAGGCAGGCCCTGCCTTGGGAAATCTAGTCTAGAAAACGTCATCTCTGTTTTAAGTGGTGTGGCTGGTAGTTTGGTTGAAAGATATTCAAATAAAAAAACCAGATTTTCATAAGTGCTTTGAAATCACGAGTAAAATCTCATGTAGATTTAAGATCTTTGTACATAGCAGAAAATCCCCAGAGCAATAGACTGCACTGTTCTTCTTTTACATAAAATAAGATACTGCTCCAGGATTCTGAATTTAGCAGCTGTTGGTGTACGTGTCTCTTGCCGCGCTCATAAAGGTTTTTAATGTACAATCACATAACATATAGCTCATCCCTTCTACGGTTAGATGCATTATTTATAACTAACTTTGTATCATCTTCACATGTTGAAGGAGCAATAAATAATTGGGCCTATCCATTTTTAGTTCCCAGAAAACAAGATTCTCTTCATTTTTCTTTTTTTAATTTTTATTTGTTGATTTTAAAGAGAGGAAGAGAGAGAGAGAGAAATATGAAATAGGTTCCACCTATTCATGCATTCATTGGTTACTTCTTGTGACCCAGGATCAAACCTCGGTATACAGGGATGACGCTCCAACCTACTGAGCTGCCTGGCCAGGACCTCGCTTCATTTTTCATAGTGCCATCTGCCACTCACCCTTTCTGCCAGCGATTAGCATTGGTCCACTGTAGCTCCTGTTTTATTTAAACACACTTATAACTGGGAGACGATACTGCTTAATGTGAATTAGCCTAAAAGCTCACCTGAAGATGCCGGACCTTAGCTGCATCCCACAGCTTCAACACCCATGCAAGGGGCAAACCCAAAAGGCCACAATGTCTGTACCTGAATCCATTCATCTGTAAAGTGAAAATGGTCATATTGATGTTAATAAATCTGAAAAAAAGATCAGATGGAAGTTAAAATATTCACCTGCCAGATGTTAGTGCTCATAATAACCTCCATGATTCACCTTGCCTTAGTGTCATGGGAAACTTGGGATCCACAGGATAAAAGAACGCCATCCACACATTTTGTTCTGAAAAAGTCTGCATACTTATTCATTCTGTGTATAGCACTAATTCCTAGGCACTTTACAAAGCACCTCTTTGCAGAAAACTATAGGAATCTCTTCAGTTGGGCTCCTCGTTCCCCCAACTCTATGCTCTCCCATAACCGAGGCTGGACGCCATGAGTCATCTTCCTAAATTGTGGACCACATAGGGGGACGATCCAGACTTTCTCAGGAAGTTCTGTTTCTGGAGTTCAGAGGAAGACTCATGCTTCACAATGAATGTCAGTGGAGGAGACCATGCTCCACGTGAAGCCCACTGTTAAAGGTTCAACTCATTTCAAACACAGATACAGCGCGTACAGAGGGGATGGGTGGCTGCTTGGAAGTTGAAGGAGCTTTGCACAGAGCACAGGAGTCAGTCAGGTAAATATTAAGCAAAAACAGATGCTCTAAGGGCTGACTATAGACCCAAATCACGAAGTGCTTGAGTGACTCATTCTGGTTAGGGAAACCTAGGAGGTATTTAGAGAGGAATTTTTAAGCATCTGAGCTAAGACAAGAATGATTAAAAGAATTTCAACAGACAAATTTCAACTAGTAGGTGAGGGTGGTTGGGCAGATGATGCTGTGCAGGGAGGAACGGGATAAGCATAGTTATCGAAGTGCCAAAGCAAAAGCAACTTTGACCATTTGGACTGCGGTGGGGTTCCCAAGGGGACAAAATAGAAGGATGAGGAAGTAGAGTCACTTTTCACCTCCAAGGTAAATAATTGAAATTGATTCTCCTAGCAATGGTCTCTTGTTTGGTTTTACCAGGAAGTGATCTAAGCAAGACACTCTTTTTTTTTTTTTTTTAAATTTTAATGGGATGGGCTTGTTCATTTGCAACTCTTCATATTTCCCTGTGTTCTTATTATTGCTGTTATTCGTGATAGTTGAGGTCAGATCTCGGGGTGGTTTACACGGAAATATAACCTCAGATACCTGTGAGGAGTTCAATAGGTCGAGTATAACAGGATTCACAGCTGCCTTAGGATTCCCTAACCCTAGAACTGCAATACGTGTCATAGTAACCAAGGGACTCCGTCTTCGCCGGCCCTGGGGCTTTACTCCAGTTTCCATTTCCTTAAGAAGAAAGAGGTTCCTTCCACCTGCTTGTCACCCACCTTTCCATATTTATGCTGCCGGAGAAATGATTTCAATCCATAAAGCTAATGCATATTTTTTTGGTTCCCCCTGATCTTTAGCATCGTGGCCCTGAAGTCACTCTCCTATTACTCTGGAGCACTGATTTGGCTTTCCCATATGACAGCAACTTCAGCCAGACTGCCTGTCATCCCCCCCCCCCCCCTCCGTGCTCCAGCCTCCTAAAGGGTGAAGGTGGGCACCCACCGCCTCACCCACCAGCCCCCCCTTTTCCCATTTGTCCCCAAGCCCAGGGGTTCCCCCATCTTCCCCCCAACCCGCGCCCTGGGAAAGTCGTCCTCGCCCCATAAACAAAGGGAATGGGAGGGGGGCGAGGATTTCAGAAACTCACACACCCCAAGTCCCGGCTGGGAGAACCCGGGGTCCCGGAGGCCCGGCGGCCGCTAACCCCCTCCCGAAAGTAGAGGAGGAGCCTTCGGGTCCCCCCTCGACACGGTGCTGCCCCGCCCCCGGCCCCGCCCCCCAACCTCTGCGGCCCCGTGGCCCCAGATTTAAGTCCCTCTGGCCCC